TAGTAAAATTTGTAGACAAAAGGGTTCATCACAGAATCTTGACTTGAGTTGTTTGCAGCAAGTAAAAATATATGATATTGTCTATCTTCTTCTATTTTTCTTAGTAAAATGTGTTCATCTAATTCTAATAAAAAGTTTTAAAATTTTTAAATATTATTGGAAATGTTAAAAAAACAATATTTCTGAGTGATTCATGTATATTTAATGTGATAGAACGAAACAAGAAGTTATGGGACATAAAAAATATTCTTTTGATTTTCACTTTTTTTTTGGTAGTACTTGATTTTCACATTATTAAACGGTTTGTACGTCATCTTTAAGTACATAAATATTTATGTTTTTATTTTATTTTTTAATTTGTGGGTAAGTTAAGTTAGTCATGCTAAGTAATCACACAATTAATGAGGGTTGGTAAAAATTGAATGAAGAAACTACCATAATGCATGCACATGTCAATAAAGTCAGAGAAAACATATATAAATTCTCTTCCGTTCAATTCTTGCCTTCTTGGCCTCCTATCATTTTCTTTTTAAATTGTTTATGATTACAATTTTATCATATTATATCTTGAATCTCATGAACTCGTCATCTATCAAATTGTACTCTTATATGCATTAAGAGTACGTCAAACCCAAACTAAAATATAATCATCGATCTATATTCATGCGGCAGGAATCAAACTCCACCCACTTGTTTTTTTGTGCTACGACTAAAGAAAACTAGCAATTAATATTTTGAGGGTACGCAATGGGTAAACATTAACTTAAGTATAATCCACAAACTACACATAAAAGTAAATCGCATTAAAAAGATCATGTGTGACGAACTCAACTGAAAATGTATTAATAATATAAATCAAACTCATAACATTTAAACACAAAAATCATGTTTCACCCATTCCGTCATGCTTTTCGGGTTGCCCAAACGCCTACCACTTTCTTGGCATGATGATGAATTCCGATCCTCCACTCCATGCAATTTATATGGGATACCAGCAACCCCCAATTAATTACCGTAATAAATGAAGTTAACAAATCTTTTAATGTGGTTGGAAAACGACAGGAGATTAGCACTAATCAGTAATCATAGTTGTTTTGCCTATACTCTGAATATAATTAAGCTCCCCCTATGTCCGGATCTTATTCTTAATTAATTAATGTACTATTTTATTGGTAAATTATGAAACCAAATATAGTAGGTAAACTTACATGACAAACTAACTAACCTCACATAGATAGAGTAGTTGTGTGTTACTGAATTTGTGTACTCTTTGTATCACAAATATTGAACATCAAATCAAATATAGTATATATGCATTTAATAATTCTTTATTCTCTTTTGTTTCTACACGGTATATTGAAATTTTTTAAAAAAATTCAAAATAAAATAAATAAATAACTCTTAAAGAATTTAAGATAATGACTTTGTGGTTTAGTGACACGAATTTACTTGCTCAAATAGAAATGCAACTATTGCAGCCCAGGGGTTCGATCCTGTGACCTTCCCTCGAGGGGAGTCACAGAGGTGTCATCTGAACACAAATGTGTTTGTCAGTAATTAATTATTTTAGAAAATACATTTTCTTAAATTATTATTTTTTAGAAATTTAATTAGCAAAAAAAGAAAAACATAAAAGCACAAATATTGAATATGATGAGATAAGGTTGAGGTGGTGGAAGGGGGGTAGGTATTAGTGTAACAAGTGAACTCAAACACCATACGATAATGTTCCAAGTTTGCCCACCGACACTATCATTCAGTGGTTTCCAATGTAGTGTGTACGTGGTCAAAATAATATAATTATAAATTCAGACCGACTTTGATCAATGAGCACTGCTAGGTAGTAAAGTTGGAGACAGACCTAATAATCCTTTCTAAATAATACTCCATAATATTTTGGCCATTAATTTATTAGACCCATTTTTTTCTTCAAAAAAAAAATAATGATTTGATTATTAGGTTGAACTAACCACACATAATTGAATCAATAAGCACTTGATAAAAACTGGTAGATGACAAATCTAATCATTTTTATTTATAATATAATATGACAACATTTGACCAATTTTAAAATGGTCAGAACAAGAGTTGTGGACTGAATTTTGGTGATTTTCAATCACTTTTTAGTGGTTGAATAATTGATGATTTTCAACGGTATTTCTAAATATTAAAATTTAATTTAAAAATATTACAGTATATTTTCTCAAAAGTATCATATTTTACCTAATAAGTATTACACTTTCTCATATAAGTAATACTCTGTAATTAGTTTATCCTCATTAGTGTTATAATTTTCCTCAAAATATTACGTTTTCACTCATAAGAATAATAAGTTAATTTATCCTTGATAAACATTACACTTTTTATTTATAAATAACTTTTCAACTCAAAAGTACTACAATTTCTCTTATAAATATTACACTTTTCTAATAAATAACCATCAAGTATTTATCAATAATTAATATTATATATTTTTTTTTATCATAAGTCACTGTTGGAAATTATGGAATTTCCGACCACCTAAAAATGATCTTAAATCAAGTCGAAAGTCTTATTCCGATCACTTTGATATCTGGAAAAACCTTTATTGCTATTTCTGACTACGTTTTGTTTTTGACTTGATATAAAATCACTTTCAGGTGATCGAAAATTCCATAGTTTTCAGTAGTAAATATTACCGTACATTATTTTTGTCCATACAACTTAACCTATAACAACGCGCGAATAATAATAATATTTTTCTTTTTCTAGAAAAGGTAATCAACTAATCTCATATATAACACGTTACAAGACATAGTTTGTCACCTAGTCCTAAAGTCGTACACATGTCGTGTCGGTAACCTAACTCGTAGTAGTATTTCGACTTTGGAGCCAAATTTTATGAATTACTTTGGTCCCACAAAAGGAACAAAATCACCATATATCACATGGCCTTCTTTCTTAATTACGGAAACAATACATTTTATGCAACTTTATTCAAATTAAAAACTTGTGTTTGGTCCGATCATCACGTTATTCCAGACACCTATCACTCTGCTAATACTTTTTTTTTTTTTTCTTACCCCAAATACTTTTTTTTTTTTTTCGAGTACACAATTAATGTGGAGATTACAGGGTATGTGGGTGGGATTTGATTTCGATTTTTTATTCATTTATTTTTATAATTTCACGTTGAATTTAAATTATTTGCTTAAATAAAAAAAATGTTATATTTTTTTTGAAAGGAAAAAAAATGTTATATATATGTTACGTTAATGAACTTGTTGCTAATGACTAAGTGAGAAGTTTTAATTTTTAGTGCTTATTAGTTATTAGGTAAATCTCATACACTTTGTACTCTAATGGTATATAGTGACTCTTGCATAGGGAAGTCATTCTTAGTGGAGGCACAACTTGAGAAAGTTGTGAAATATATTTAATCTATAATGTTTTGTTCAATTTAATCTTTCTATCTTAATTTTGTTCACTTTAGTCCCTGTACTTTTAAAAGTGAAACAATTAAGGACAACAGATGATGTGGCGCTGACATTATATCTGTCGCGACATCATACTTACATGCCAACTCATATATTATTTGATAAATATTTAAAATTAATTATTTTTACCACCAATATATTACAGTAATATATCGAAAATAATACATAAATATAAGTTATTGTCCTTAATTGTTTCACTTTTAAAAATACAGGGACTAAATTGAACAAAATTAAGATAGAATGACTAAATTAAACAAAATACTATAATAAAGGGACCTCATAGGTACTTTGACCTAATTAAACTCATGCTCAAGTTATTCAATTCAATAACCCTTTACAAGGGAGAAGTCTTTTGATGAATCACATATTCAATATGCTTGTGTATACATAGGTTATAAATAGTATAATTATATTATTTTAAGGTCGATAAACCATCATTATTCATTTTAATTATTTTCAATGAAATCCAGTTGGTTTAGTATAGGGAAAAAGTATTTTTGGTCTTTTGGTTTATTTACAATTACAATTAGTCATTTTCGTCCTTATTTTAATATTTAATATAGTTGTACAATATAATTTTAACTTTGTACGTAGTAGTAGTTTTTGCCATCATATCCAATAAGACATGTCACTATATAAAGTTCGAGACATTTTTCAGATATTTTAGTATTTTTATTTTTGTCTAATCACATGTTTTCCTCATCTAGTCCATTAACCATTACATATTGAGACTAATCTTATTCGTGACATTACTATTTATTAGTAGGACTTTAAAAGTGGCAAAACAAACCTCTTGTTTATGTCAGATTGGATCTCAAGGTTGACTTTGATTAAGTTAGAAGAGACTTATGTCATCTCATCCACATCTCAATAGGTAGATATATATTTTATTACTATACTTTAATGTTTTAATTTGTGTGAAATAACTAAATCCAAAAAAAAAATAACATTAATCTTCTTGCCAAATATCATGTGATTTGACGACATCAAATTAGCTTACATAACAAACCTTGGCAATTTATATCGTGCACCCGGGCAGACATTGCATTGTGCGCCCTAGTGCAAAACGATATCGGTTTGCATTTTTTTTTTTTTTGAAAATTCCGTTTTTTCGTGTTTGCGGTTAACTTGTTAAAAAAAATCATGTTTGAAAATGTATATAATTGTATACTAAAATGTACATAATTATATAACAGAATACACATAAACTTTTAACTGTTAAAAAAACTGTGTGTTCGAATGTACATAATTGTAAAAAAAATGTACATAATTGTATAAAATAATGTACATAATTATATACCAGAATGTATATAATTGTATAACATAATGTACATAATTATATAACATAATACACATACACTCTGTCACGACTCCCCACATAACTTAACAAAAAGACATCGTTTTGAGAGACAAGGGACGCACAGTGCTATGTGCACCATGGTATTGAGTATAACGATTGACAAACCTAGGGATCTTGCAGTGCAGCTTTATTACATTTTTTTTTTTGTTTTTTTGTTTTTTTTTTTTAAACTTTTAAATACCCATCTAGCTACTAATATGTGATTCGGACGCATGGAATAATTTGTCCCAGTCGCCATTTTCGCAGTAACAGACAGTAATCAAAGAGTGAGCATAATATACAGAAGTTGCAGAGGAGGAGGAAGAAGATGACGTCGATGACGATACAGTTTGTTGCGACGTCGTCACGTGAAGTGTGGATAAGATGCGGCGTCTTACTCTCCGGCACAACCTAACTAATGACAACCTTAGCGTCTTGGAGTTAAGCAACGCCTAACACAAACACTAGAAGAGAGTTAAGGTATCCGCTGAAGCAAACAACTAACCTTAAAAGACAAACAGTACAGTGCTTCCAAGAAACCATTCACTTTTTTGTGTTTTTTTGGGGAAAAATCCCAGTTTCATACACAAGCATAATCGCCATTATAAATATTCGATCACTCGAGGAAACGTTCTGTCAGTTACCAAAGATATTGAGATAATGCGAGGAGGAAAAGGTGCAGTGGTGGTGGGACTGGTGGCTCTGCTGCAATGCTTGGCGGCGATGACGACGGCGTTTGCCGCCACCGTGACGTATGACCACCGTGCATTGGTCATCGACGGCAAGCGGAGACTGCTGCTTTCCGGCTCCATTCACTACCCTCGCAGCACTCCCGATGTACATTCATTCATTCCCATCTCTCTCTCTCTCTCTCTCTCTCTCTCTACATAGTATGTATAATAACGTTGTTTTATACGAATGGGAATGCAGATGTGGTCGGACTTGATACAAAAATCCAAAGATGGAGGTTTAGATGTCATCGAGACTTATGTTTTCTGGGACTTGCATGAACCATCTCGTAACCAGGTTCTATTTGATCGAATGTTGGTTATTATTTTCCATTTCTGGGAAATTTCTAGTTTTAGATATTTGGAATCTTGCATTTAGATTAGTGATTTGAGCTTCTCTGTTTATTATTATTAAGCTTACTAGTTGAGATTTGAAGCACAAAATTGGATAGTTAAAGAGTACTGATATATGAGCTGGTGACAAAATTCTGCAGTATGATTTTGGAGGGAGGAAAGATTTGGTCAAGTTTGTGAAATTGGTTGGGGAAGCAGGTTTATATGTTCATCTCAGAATTGGGCCTTATGTTTGTGCTGAGTGGAACTATGGGTAAACATTTTTTTGCAGAATTTTATAAAATTTGGAATTTTTAGTCCTTTTTTCTGGGTAATCTGAGAATTTTACCTAATAATGAACAGTGGGTTTCCTCTCTGGTTGCACTTTATACCTGGAATTGAACTTCGAACCGACAATCAGCAATTCAAGGTTTCCATTTCACTTTCGGTTTTTGAGACAATAGTAGCTAAGCTAGTTTTGGTGTTTTAACAAGAGAGTTTGTGTGTTCCAGTCTGAAATGCAGCGATTCGTTACCAAGATTGTGGACATGATGAAGCAAGAAAAACTCTATGCATCTCAAGGCGGTCCGGTTATATTGTCTCAGGTACTATATATCTAATTGTGCTGGTTTCTCTGATCTATGCAAAGCAAGTAACGATTTTTGGAATGTGAATTGATTATCTGATCTATTTATTGCCCTTTTTCTGCAGATCGAAAATGAGTATGGTAATGTTGCTTCGAGTTATGGTCCTCGTGCTAAATCGTACATCAAGTGGGCAGCAGATATGGCTACTTCTTTAGATACAGGGGTACCCTGGGTTATGTGCCAGCAAGCCGATGCTCCAGATCCTATTGTGAGTTCCTTCCTGGCTTTAGTATATATCGAATTTTGATTTTGACAACATTGTTCTGAAACATTTGCAAGTTACTGATTAAACTTTGGATGGTGACAGATAAATACTTGCAATGGGTTTTATTGTGATAATTTTAGCCCTAATTCCCCGAAGAAACCAAAAATGTGGACAGAGAATTGGAGTGGATGGTAAGCATTCCTTTAAGATATGAATTATATATCTTTAAGTTATTTTTTCAACTGGTTTGATTCTTTGGAATATTAGGTTTCTTGCATTTGGTGGTCCGGTACCTTACAGGCCTGTGGAAGACCTCGCTTTTGCAGTGGCTAGATTCTTTCAGCGCGGTGGAACGTTCCAAAATTATTATATGGTACTTTGTGTTTTCAAATGTATATACCTTATAGTTTATGAACATTTTTATCTGTGAAATAAAATTATCTTTTGCTATATAGTATCATGGAGGAACTAACTTTGGTCGGTCCACTGGAGGGCCCTTTATCTCAACAAGCTATGACTATGATGCTCCGCTAGATGAGTATGGTATACATACTTCTCAATCTTTGATATAATATTATTATGGTTTTCTATTATAATGTTAAATTAATCTGTTCTTTAGCATCTGGTAAAAGGGTTTGAAACGATTTTATTGTGTACTGCAGGCCTTCTAAGACAACCAAAATATGGCCACTTGAAAGATCTGCATAAGGCTATAAAGCTTTGCGAGGAGGCTATGGTTGCAACCGATCCTACCACCACTTCTCTTGGCTCGAATTTGGAGGTTCGTAGCCACGAGGAACCTTTTTATAGTCTAGGATTATGGGACATATATATATATATACGTTTTAATGTTGTTTTCCATCGAGGCTATTGTTTTCTCCTTTCTGCATCACATACCTCATTAGTACACTAATATTACCAAACAGAGCTTATAACTTATTAGTAGCTTAAAATGAACTGTTTCGTGTTTCAGGCCACAGTGTATAAGGCAGGATCAGGGTCGTGTTCTGCCTTTCTAGCGAATTTTGGTACCCAATCTGATGCAACGGTTAGCTTTAATGGCAATTCGTATCACTTACCTGCTTGGTCCGTGAGCGTCTTACCCGACTGCAAGAATGTGGCACTCAATACTGCAAAGGTTCCACTTTCATAAGAATCCCGCAAATTTTCTCATATATGTGGTTAATTAATTAAGTCATCAAAAGACGATTGCCCGGAGTCTCAAGTGTTTTACTTTGTGGTGACAGATAAACTCTGTTGAAACCATCACGAGATTTGTGAGCCAGTCTCGAGTGTCTCTATCTGATTGGAGCTGGTTTAGAGAACCTGTCGGGATTTCTAGCAATAATGCATTTTCAGTATCTCGGTTATTGGAGCAAATAAACACTACAGCTGACAAGAGTGATTATCTGTGGTATTCTCTAAGGTATATTGGTTTTGTTCTCAAAAACATCATATATATCCGCAAATTATAGGTGCTTCTGTTGTTTTGGATAGATGATAACTGGCTAGGCTTTAATTTGCAGTATTGACATCGAAGGCGATGAGCCATTCTTGCAAGGTGGATCTCGAGCAACTCTTCATGTGCAATCACTTGGCCACGCACTTCATGCGTTTATTAATGGAAACTTTACAGGTAATAATCACGTTTTCTACCAAGCATTTGTGATATCGATTAAAGAACGTATTAGTGTTTTCCAGGTAGCGGGAAGGGCAGCAGCAGCAGTGCTAAAGTTGGAATCGATGTTCCTGTCAACCTCGTACATGGGAGAAACAAAATTGATCTCCTAAGTTTAACCGTTGGACTACAGAATTATGGAGGGCATTACGATGTACGAGGGGCAGGGGTTACTGGTCCCGTGCAGTTCAAAGGTCCCGATGGTAGCTCAGCTACTGATCTTTCCTCGCATCAATGGACATATCAGGTAAAAAAAAAAAAAACTTATCTCGTAGTTTAAAACGTTAAATGGATACGTGTATTGCTTTCCACTTATCGTTTTCGAAAATGCAGGTTGGGTTGAAAGGTGAAGAATTCGGGTTGTATAATGGAGTTTCCGAGCTCTGGACATCAGAATCTAGTTTACCAACAAACCAACCATTGACATGGTACAAGGTAATACTTAGGTTGTTTGTTTGGAGTTAGTTATTAAACTGTCATGTTTTGTTTTGTTTTCATATTCAATATGTGGAGTGCCATTTTCACTGTCACAACTGATTTTATTTCTTCAAACAATGCCTATAACATTTAGAAAATCGAAATGGGATAAGAATGTTTGAAAGCATTCTAAAAGGTAAAATTTTCACATTGTTTCAGGCAAATTTTGATGCCCCAGATGGAGATAGTCCTCTTGCCATAGATTTTACGGGGATGGGGAAGGGCGAAGCGTGGGTAAATGGTAAAAGCATAGGACGATATTGGCCAACTTATATTTCTTCAGATGGAGCTTGTACTGATTCTTGTAACTATAAGGGGCCGTACCACGAAAAGAAATGTCTCAGGAATTGCGGAAAACCATCCCAGACCTTGTAAGGATTTTACTTAGTTATAACTTACTGTGATCACTATATCGTTCGTTCTTAAAACCGAGCTGCATAACTTCTGCAGTTACCATTTGCCTCGTTCGTGGCTAAAACCAAGTGGAAACGTCCTGGTTTTACTCGAGGAAGTGGGCGGAGATCCAAGCCAGATATCGTTTGCAACTCGAGAGATAGCAAGTGTATGCTCGAGAGTTTCAGAGTCTCATCCGAGCCCTGTAGACCTGTGGACTACAGGTAACGAAGGTGCCCCCCGAAAGCAATCTGGACCGACCATGTCCCTCGAGTGCCCTCTTCCTAATCAGTCCATTTCTTCGATAAAATTTGCGAGCTTTGGCACTCCTCATGGGAGTTGTGGAAGCTATAGCCATGGCCAATGCAGTAGCTCCAACGCTCTTTCCATCGTACAGAAGGTTCGTTAAGTCCAACTTTAATTTTACCCTCACTTAATCTTGTTCTTATTGATCTTCACTTTTTACTCCCGAATTCTCACAGGCTTGCATTGGATCAAGAAACTGCAGCCTGGGTGTCTCGATCGATACATTTGGTGACCCGTGTGTGGGGGTTACAAAGAATTTAGCTATAGAAGCAGTCTGTACATGATGGGGTAGAAACTAGAAAACTAGAAATAGTATCTCCAAATAAAGAAAAGCATATTCATTACTTCTTCATCAAATCCAGCTTTTTAATGACAATTAGAAAGAATTTCTTTATTCTTTAATCTTTATTAGTACATTTATTGGTGATCAAACATTATGTTATTATGATTATTATTATATTGTGCTAATCCCAGAAGGTCTTTGGAACCTGCAATGCTTGCAGAGAGGCGAGTAGAGCGATGGGGTTTGGTATTTGTCTTCCCCGCCCATCATAGGCATAGGCACGCCTCTCTTGACCGGGCTCTCGTATCCTGGCTGGTAAGTCTTGCCCAGAACGCCTTCCACAGAATCGGAGAGGGCGAGGAAGTTGAACTGTGTTTCGAGGTGAGCAAAAGCATTATCTGCAGGTATGTGGTAGTTGTGAGACCTGTTTTCTTGTTCTCCTATGGGGACAACCTTAGCAGCCAATTCTAGGAGCCCAGAGACTGTGAGTTTAACTGTGTTAACATCATCTGTTCTCTCAACCACCACTGATCTTGCTTCTCCTGTGTTGATTCTCCACTCGGCTTCCCCGTCTGTGGGGACGTTTATGGTCTCCCCATCCCACTTCACCATTAGGGAGTCCACACTGTCATCCCATTTTGAGACTCTCTTTGCTGCAAGGACTAGAGTGTGGGAATCAAACATGACAGCAAGTGCTTGAACCCAGGTGAAATCGCGAGTCCTCCCTTGTGGTCTTGTCCCTATCAAGTGGGCATTGATGTGGAGGTTGTCATCTGAGACTATTGCAAAGTCTGCCCCTTTTGCTCCATGGAAGTAGAACATGACTCCATCGCCCCCCACGAAGCGCGGGTCGTAGCACAGAGAGCCATAGCCACTGCACTTTGGCTTTCTCCCTGCAATGATAGATCACAAAAAGGAAAGAAAAGATTGGTGAATTGTCTAAACTCTTGCTGTTGGGCCGAGGCCGGTGAAGGGCCAAGTACAGCACCAGGTAGTTCTGAAGGGCCAAATCCAACACCAGGTGGGCCTGAAGGGCCAAGTCCATCACCAGATGGCCCTGAAGGGGTCAGTTCAGCACTAGGTGGACCTGAAGGGCCAAGCTTAGCACCAGGTGGGCCTGAAGGGCCAAATCCAGCACCAGGTGGGCCCTTCAGTGGGTTTGAAGGGCCAAGTCCAGCACCAGATGGCCCTGAAGGGTCAGTTCAGCAGGTGGGCGGTGGGCCTGAAGGGCCAAGTCCAGCACTTGCAAGAAAATAAAGTTGTGCTTTCGCTACGAGCTAGAGTTTTTGGCGTAGTGATAAGCGCTTGATCCTAACAGTTAAATTAGTTATATAGCCTTTAAACACAATTGAAGAAAGAAAGAGAGAAAGAGAGAATTTACATTTGCAGACAGCTTCACACTTGCTACCACAATTGATAAAGCACCCCTTCTTCTTCTTGTTCTTCTTGGGCTTCCTCTCAGGGCACTCAGCAGGGCAGGTGAGTGTCTTGTAGTAACAAGCTCCCTTCGCTTTGCAGAAGGCCCGTTCTTCCCCCGATTTTGGCACTTTTGACAACATTTTGTAGTGCGTAATATCTTTATCGCTCTCCTTATCATTCCCATTGCCATTCCCATTACCATTATTGCCATTTCCATTCCCACTCCCATTGTTGTCATTCCCGTTGTTGTTGCCATTGTTGCCATTCCCATTGTCGTTGCCATTATTGCCATTTCCATTCCCGCTCCCATTGTTGTCATTCCCGTTGTTGTTGCCATTATTGCCATTCCCATTGTTGTTGCCATTGCCTTTGCCTTGAGACTGGGCTATGCTAGCTTGCAAGAAGAGAAGCAAGAGAGCCAATACAAGGCACAATCTTTTCATATCCATCTTCTTCATTTCAATCATCCAAGTATGTTACCACTTGAATGATGTTTATGTTCTTTTGTTTGATGAATGCATGAAGAGAATGAGAGTTTAAAGGGAATATATATAGGCTAAAGTCATGCAACTTTATCTTGCAGTACAAATCAACAGCTGGAAAGCTCCATTTTTTGTGGAAACAATTACTGAAAACCAACTTTAATTTCTTCAACTGGGCAACTTTAATTTCTCTAGAAGTAAAGTATGTCAACTTTCTTAATCAGGCTCGCAATTGAAGTTTTGACTTTTGAGATTCCATTTTATGAATGAATTCCTTCTCCCCTAAACAATTAATAGGGTAAATATGGCCGAAACTCGTGGCTGAATGGGTAGAGTATAATTCTTGTACTTGAAGGATACGAGTTTGATTTTTGTCAACACTTTCTTAATTGAATTTATCGAGTCAAATTTTATCCATTACAGTGGTTGTGCGTTTTCTTATCACCCAAAAACTAATAGAATCGATAATAAACAATAGTTAAATTTATGAAACAATAGTGATATATGACTCAAGTGGGAGGATTGAATCGTTTAAGCATAAGAGAATCGAATTTAAACCATTTGAATAAAGTTACTAATTTATACAAAGTTAAAACATTGAAGATGAAAAATAATACCTCTCTAAAGTAATACAATTTACTTCATTAAAGTGCACTCTTGAAGGAAAAGAATGAAGAAAAGTTGGCATGCTATATATCTCAATAATGTACTAAAATAAGTTGTGTCAAACCGACCATACATGACGTTAGAAGCCAATTTAGGGTTGCTCATATGCTGCCTTTGCTTCATAGTTTAGATTATGATATAAAAATGTAAGTGGCTGGCTTTTGGTAGTTTAAGCGCCATGATTTCGATTGCTAATTTTGGATTCAACTTTGCTTAAGCGTTGTGAGACGAGGAAAATCTGTAATTACTATATGAGGATGTGCACCGATAAATTTTATTTTCGTGTAATAATTTGTAAATCCGCACAAGAGAAGTAATTTATATTAAAAAAATCTTGTACGGCAAGCTCGACAGATAAAGTGTTGGCCAAAATCAAACTTGTGACATTTTGGTATGAGAATTATGTTTCACCTACTTGACCACCATTTTTAGCTAATGAATTTTAATTTTACAAGAAAAGGGCCAATTTTGATTTGGTGTTTTCTGATTTTTTCTTTTTTTTTTTTTAGTAAGGTACAGAATGAATAATCAAATATTCAATATTTTTTTTGAAAACATCAAATATTCAATATGATTCCACAAGGTTTGATTTTGTTCAAGTAACAAATTCTAGCTAATGGAATGAATCATCTGATCAATCTAAAGATCATTTGGATTCTATTTTTTTTTTTTTTTTTTTTGAAGAGAGATCATTTGGATTCTATTAGAACAAGGATTTGGAATACCACATTGATCAATTAAATAGAGATTTAACAACTAAAAAGATGAATTCCCTTGGATCTTTTATTTCTTCAAATGAATCAAAAAGAGAAAACTAGATCGATGCCTGAAACAAATTTATGAGTATTCCTCAACGTCTCAACTATTCAAGGAACATGAAAATTGATGATTAATCACTTGTTTTACAAAGAAATGGAATAATTTCTTGGGAGTACTCTACAAGATGATTGTATTGGCATTACAAAGTTTGTTTTTTTTTTTTTTTTTAATAGTTTGAGAAGATGCATTGAAAAGTTGAAAGTTTCATTTTATTTGACATTGATGAATTTTTTAATCAGAAGCATGTTTTTCAGTGACGATTTACCTTCCAATGTGAATTGCTTCACAATATAAAGATGGTAATGAATTTCTTGAGACTTTATAAACTCTAATATATTTGGGCTAACAAAACAAGATTTAGGAGTGTATCCATTATAAGAATTAGGAATTTAATTTAAAATTTCTAATAAAGCAGTTTGCAAAAGATACAATTTGAACATCTGCAAAACTAATAAATGTAGAAAAACTATTACGAGATTGCAAACAAGTGAGTTGAATGATAAATAGATAAAGAAAAGAGCATTTTTACAACCTATTTTATCTTATCATTCATCATATGATGTGATTGTATTAATTCTCCTTTTCTTCTTTTGCTTCTATTGAAAAACAGGAAGATCAATTTTTGGTCGTTCATAAAAGCTGGAACCTTCACCAGTTGTTGTGATGATACTTGATGTTCCTCCAAATTCAGGCACCATTTTCAAAAAGTAACTATGCCTACACAACAATGAAACTCCCCCAGGTTAGGCAATATATATGGTACAGAAAATTCTACCATGCTAGTCCAATATTAGAAACCGTTACTAATAGAGCTGTCAATGCGAGCTTGCAGTGCGAGGCCCGCCAGAGCCCACCTTTGTGGCGGGGCGGGCTTCGCCCCCCTTAGGTCCGTAGGGATGGGCGGGGGGCCGCCATTTTTTAAATTTTTTTTAAACTATGTGTCTATGACTTATTAATAATATGCAGTACAATACATGATTGTACTAGGTACGATCAACAATATAAAAATTTGCTATATAGAACGTTTAGAATCTCATCCCCCTTTGATGAACCCCCTAAACAGAAGGGAAAAGGCAACACATACCACCGTGTATCAGCGGTCAGTTCAGGGTGAAAAGCAGTAGCTAGCATGTTCCCTTGTTTTACAGCAACGATCACTTTCTGCTCAGACTCCGCGGATTCCTGAATCATATAAAACAATTAACGATTGGTGGAGGCAGAGTGGCAGACATCTTGAGTGTATTAGGAAGTAAGGAAATCAAAGAACATCATGTGCAGCAATCTAAGCTCCTAAGTGGTACTTTCCATGCATAGCATGTTAGATCATGATAAATTGATAATGGACCATGGTGAAAGAATTGCATAGGACTTGCACCTTGAAGTTAAACACCAATGATTAACTAAAAGCCTCATTTCATGCACTACAGATAAAATCCCTTAAGTTCCTACTGAATACCATGCAGAGATGAGTTCAGGTGCTTTATTGTGCTTTGATAATGAAACTGAACAAGGAACTATAAGAGAAGATAGTAGTTTAATTTGTAAATACTCTAAAAAATCCACTTTCATATTCTCACCCTCATCTCTCCACCCCCAAAACAGATTCTTTTTACTATGCAAGATGGCAGTCATGTTTTGGCATCTGGATGCAATATTATGAGCAAATAAAGCATATAAAATATGGAAATGTGAACCCTTGTTAACTTGCATCATAGAACATGTGTGGGAAAACAAAAAAGGATAAAAATGAAAAATGGTGCACCTGGAGATCAATGCAAAGATATTCCATTTCTAACTACACTGGTTAAAATAGAGTGGTGAAGGTCATAATTGATGATAACATGAACATGTATACACAGTTCACAAATCTTCAACCAAATGGCAAGATGACAAGTGAACCGAAAAGTGCACAATAGTCATGGAGAGAGCTCACTAGTTGCTCTTCAGTAGAAGAATGAGAACTGACAGTTATCACAGATGAGGCTGGAACATCTGCCAGAATCTCAACATCTGGGCCTACTTCAAGGATTGCAGGCGCACGAATAAAAACAGCACGGAATGTTGGAGGACCACCTTCTTTGGCTGCAACTTCAGGAATAGCGAGCTCGGTCTCAAAGCTTTGAATCTATTTGACAATGGTATTGTTGAAATAATAGGTTAAGAGTTCTTGTGTAGGTACCATCAAGTGTAGTTTCATCCACAATGCATTAAAATAAAATCAAACTATCAAAGTGGCTGAAGAGCAATTATGACACAAGTACAAATCAAAAGTTTTAACTGACCTATTTATATTCCACAACATTGTGAACTAAATTTACATAGCAGAATTCTTTGTTAAAATATTTTTGTGCTATTCTATTAAATTGGCAAAACATATATGCATCACATTTAAATTAAACTATGGTATTGGGGGCATGGAAATAGTCTGTTAAAATTTTAAGAAGTGTGAGATCTTCAACATCTTTATATCTTCCTTTGCTTGTTCCTTCCAAGTCAAAACATGTGAACTATATGATAATATTTACCAGTCATTTATTCCTCATAGAGTAAAAAATACTTCTTAACTATAATAACTTTCAAAAGTAGAAGAAAGTTTTTTTGAGTTACCTGGCTTCCGAAAAAGTTTCGATGAACAGTACAATCGAGGCCACCAATGAGTTCCTGCCCTCCAGTTTTCTGCCCTGAGAAGGAGAGTGATAGACTCCAACATGTAACATTTAACAAAAACCAACCATGCCATAAAAAGAAACAAATCTCCAACTTCTGGGAATTCAAGCAGATAACAAAGAATAAACTAGTATATGTCATGCAACAGAAGAGCTGAACACAATTATAATCCTGAGAATTTTTTAAAAATTAAAATGTCTTAGGATTATACTACTACCAACATGTTGGCAAACCATGTGTTACAATGGTCTTTTCTAAAGGGAAAAAGAAAGCCCAGAAGTTCAAAATAATGAAAATAAATGCAAGCAATGTAGCAACAATTAAGCAGAGGTAGTACAATGCATATAGTAAAAAGGGATGTATGAAATTCACTTGAAACAAATATGTGCATTATCTTATATATTTCCAATAACATTTGACTCAGGAGGGCAAAGTGATAAACAGTTTACTGGCATTCTCTGCACAACAAGAAATATTTAAAGTAATCACTCACCAACTGCTTTATCTGCCAAGAAAATAAGGCCTGCACAAGTCCCCCATACTGGCTTTCCCATTTTCACAAACTCGCGCAATGCAGGAAACTACAATTTTAACAACAATTAAACTACGAGAATAATCATTCCATGACATATATTCATATAGGCATGAAAGTCAAAAATAAGCAAATCAAGAAAGTTGAATAATGTTACACAAAAATATGACCCTTTGGGAAAATAGGGGGGAAATTTTGCAAAGTTTCAAGTTTCCACCTTCTGGCAACACCCTCTCCATTCATAAACTCAAAAGAAAGTGAAAGGAAAAACTGAAAATGAACCTCTGTGGCAACCAAATCAGTACGTCATGTTCTCAGTTAGATGATAAAGCATCCAAAAAAGAGTGGAATCGGATATAGGATTATAATAGTCATTTTTATTTATGTTCACAAAATGGATTCCCCCATTCTTCCATTTCTTGGGCTGTGATCAAGTCTTTCTGGGTTTGGTTCTAGAATGAAGAGGATAGAGGATTAGCACTTTAGCAGCTCTTACCTCTGTTCCTTCTAGCACAACAGAGAAGTAAAATTCTAAAGTTTGCACACTGTAAGGCTACTATTCTTTCCAATGGAATTATGAACAATAAAAAAAAAAATCCTGGAAGATGCATACGCAACCAATCAACCCAATATGAATATGGGCATATAAAATACAAGTTTGTGTATGAGTAGAAGGGGTAAAGAGATAAACCAGGTTGTGAAACTCGGCGAGCTTAGCCATGGTGGTGCTTTCACCGCCAGGGATGATGAGGGAGGAGACACTCTGCAGCTGCTCTGCCTTCCTTATTTCTATTCCCTTCACTCCAAGCCTCCTCAGCGCTGCCCAATCAAATTATACAATCCATTCTCAGCAAAACAGTTGGTTCATCCATCCATTCATTTTACAGAAAATCCATTGGTGCGAATTCAGAGATATACCATACCTGCTATGTGTTCGTTGAAAGATCCCTGTAAAGCTAGCACCCCAACTGCCATTTCTTCCCTCTGCCCTCTCCGCGCCAACAGAATGTGAAAGTTTTGTAGAGAGAGACGGCGCTGTTATGGCGAAGACGACAACCAGAAACACGTAGAGTGCTTTCCTTCACGGAATATTGAGACCAGGAAAAAGGGAAAACAAAAACCTACTCCCTTTTTCTTTTCTAACTTTTATGTTATTTTAAATTTTAAATTTTGATGGCCGCAGCCTGAGCCCTCCCCTCCTGATTCCCTCAAGACTTCAAGTCTTCTTCAGACCTCAAAGGCGGTTTTTAACTAGGTAAGGTACCAAATTTAAAAAGGATAAAGTATTTTTAAAGATTTTTGAAGGCGGTAGAGTCGTAGAGAAAGATTCTATATCTATAGTTGACTTATAATTAATAGTTTGTAAATACAAATGTGTTAAAATTTTTAAACCCTAATCCATTGTATAACAATTAGGTGGAAGCATCCCCAGATAATGTACACAAATTTATATAGAAGATAAATTGTAGGGGTTACAATTTTAGCCAAATTTAAAACATTTAACTTGTTTGGTAAAATAGTTAAGTCTATTTTAACTTATCTTCCCACTATTAACTTTTTGATTTGGCTAAAAAATCAATATAAATGTTTGATTAATTAATTTTTTTGTAACTACAAAATGCTAAAAATCAAAAAACTGTTGAAAGCAACTTTTTCAATTAACATTTTGAGAAAAAAAATTATACCAAATAGCTATCAACTAACAGCTAATTTACCAAACAACCTTCTACAATAAGCTAATGTTATTACTCTTATTAACCAAACAGCCTTCTAACAACCATTTACCGACCTTAGTATGACCACAAATACCGCCTTAAGCTTGATAACAACAACAACAATAATAAAAATAAAATAATATAATAATAATAATAATAATAACAACAACAACAACAATAATAATAACAACAATTTTCATTTTCATTTTCATTTTCAAACCAATGAGCAATTTATATAATAAAAACATAAGATGAAACAAAAGCAAAGAGCAGCATCTTCGTAGTGTCTTATAGAGCACCAAGAATTATGCTGTGGAGTTTTGGTATTTCCAGAAGAACAAAATGACTTCAAGACCGACCAGTATTTAGGGATTTTGATTTAGCTACAAAGTGGAGCCCTCTCATATGTGTGTTTACTTACATAAGCTTGCCTTGTTGTTCAGTTTCCTCAGCAAAACAACACCCCCTCCTCTTCCTAGTTATCATTCTTTAAACATGACAGCAAACTGGACACAAATAAACAAGTGTACAATAAAATTCATTCTGTTAGCATCAAGTGAAAGTGAGAGTGAGAGTGTATCCGCCAAGTGGCCATTACGCGTCCATTTGCAGTTTCATTCTCTGGCACCAGCAATCATACTGAGGTATGGATCCGTGATCTCCGATGACCCACTCGTGTTCTGATACATCCCGGAGACTCAACCTTTGCCTAGGATCTGCACAACGCACACCAAACTTAGGGCCGAGTAAGAGATTCCAAACCAATCAAATCAAAGCCACAAGATGGTGGGAAACAAAATGAAATGCAGAAGCCACAAGGCAGACCTTTACAGAGAATCCCTTCAAGCAAATTCTTTAGAGGAGGATTTAAATCGTCAGGAAGGCAAAGAGGGTCGTTTACTATCTGGAGAATGGGTGAAGGGTCAGAGATCCAAATAAAATGACGGATAAAAGGATTGTTACCACTAGAGGGACAGCTGAATACCTTATCATATGTGTCCTGAAGCGTGTCTCCAAGAAATGGATATTTTCCCAAAACCATGCAATATAGGGTCACACCAACCGCCCAAGTGTCAGCAGCTTTTCCATGATAAGTCAGACCCAAGCAGCACTCTGGTGCAGTGAAAACAGGAGTTCCAGGAGACCGGCGGAGCTCATCGTCACCATTCTACCAAAAATAAAGGCAGAGAACATAAGAGAGGTAACAGCTTGTTTACACCACTTTCCACACACAATGAACATTCTAGAAAAATTGGGATCCCTATTCTATATACTTAATATACTTGTAGGGGTGTTAGCGAACAGAGCTTTCAGTAAACTACTCGTGTTCGTGTTCGGTAAGCGTTCGTTTATTAAGGTAAACGAACATTAACAAACAAAATTTAGAGCTCAGTTTATAAACAAACAGAGTTTGAACAATTATAAGCTCGTTTGCTAAGAGATCGTGAACAAGCTCGTTTGTATTCGTTTAATATTTGTTTGTATTCTCTTTGTAGTTGTGTTATTTGTTTGGTTATTTTTCGCGAACATATATTATTTCTTGTTCACGAACGAATTATGATCATGAACATGTTCATATGTTTGGTTATTTAGCATTCACAAAAGTGTTGATGAATGTGAACGAACATGTTCGCGAACGTTAACAAACACTAATGAACGCTTAACAAACGAACACGAACAGGATTTTCAAAAACCTTAACAAACGAACACGAACAACCTCCGTTCGTTTATGTTCGGTTCGTTAACAGCCCTTATTAGTAGTGCAGCAAGGAACACAAAAGGACAACGGGTACAAAAACTTAACCAATTAACAGGAGCAAGCAATTACCTCAAAAGCCTGGCTGACACTAAAATCAGCAATCTTCACTGTGCCAGTTGCAGAAACTAAAAGATTATCAGGTTTAATATCCCCATGTATTATATTCTGTTCAGGAGCAGATACAGAGAATTATTAAAAAAGGAGATAATACTTTATATAAGTAAGACATATCTCAGTTAAGCTACATAAGAAACAACTAGGGATACATAAATGACATCAAGAACAATAAACTTCCATGTATTTATTATATTCTGTCCAACAACATATAGAGATTAATAGGAGACACCACTTTATGTAACATGTAAAGACAAATCAACGTTAAGCTATATAGGAAACAAATTAGTCATAAATGACATAGTCAAAGACAGAAAAAGATTCCATGTATATGTGTGTACCAGGGCCAATGAATGCTGATTAAGTTAACAATGATAACTGTATCCATCATTTGTAAAACTCACAAATAGCGAATTGGAAACACCAAGATTAATAACTCAAAAACAGATAATCCAACAGAACTAAACTATGTCAAAATATGCATGATTAGAGTACATTAAAAAAAAAACAAATTCACGTAATAATAATAGTAAAAAGCAGTGCATCACACAGTTGAATCATACATGAGAATGAAGATACATTAAGCCAGAAACTATATCCCGCAGGTATCTGCGTGCAGTGACTTCTCCAAGACCACCACCTGGTGAACCAGAACCTTCGAAGACCCATTTGCCCTCCACATATTCAAGAACTGGCAGAAGAGAGAAAGATTACCAGCGGGTTAGGAGATATGTATCGAAGATAATAGTACAAGACGGAGAGAGGTCAACTAAAATATGCAATAATCTGAACATTGTAGGATAGAAGGCAACAGAGAAGTAAGGAAGCTGCAAAGAATACCCATATAGAAGTGATCGGTTCTTGGGTCATCAATCACCTCAAAGAGGTGAACTATATTGGGGTGGCTTAGCATTTTCATGATCAAAACCTGAAGGAAAAAAAAAAAAAAAAAAAAAAAAAAAGATATATAATCTGTAATCCATATTCATCTTTCTAAATCAAGATAAAGCCAAGTGAAACAGTTGAAGTAAAAAATAAAAATAAACTATATAATCTATCCCTTAAGACCAAACGTAACGAGACGCATCTAATTAATATCAGGGCCCCAAAAATCAATAAATGCCATTGTCATTAACATAACAAAACCAAGTATACCAGCAAATTTCAACTGATATATGTTCAATCATAAATGCATAATTATATAGAATAAAAGATAATTCAGCAGTTCGGAAGCCACTAGGTACAGAACATAATATATAAGAAAAATTGTCTAACGTCTATAAGAGGATCCGAAATTTAAAAAAGTTAGTGGTGAAAATTTAAAGTTCAAAAAATCAAATTGGCCCCTATATTATGCCTTTTTGGTTAATTTTGCCCTATTTTTACTGACAAGATTTAAGTAGTGAGTCAATAACTGATTTCTTCTGGTTGGGTAAAAACATATATATAAATGATTATTTTTTAACTAAAGGATTAAATTAAACCGTTGCTGGTTTTCTAAATTGCAAAGGTGATAAGGCAGTAGTAATCCAGAATAGATAAAAAAAAAATACAATATAACTAACAATTTTTACCAGAGGAGCTAAATTGAATGAAATTAGGCCAAGTTATTAAGATCTTGGCAGGAAAAAACATAGGAAACATAGGGGCAAAATGGACTTCTTGTCGAATTTAAACTCACCCATGACCTAGAAAGACGATGTAAATGCAAGCAAAAGTACTTAACGGAAAGGGAAAAAAAAAAAAGCGCAATTACCTCACGAAGAACATCACTCATGGCAGTCTCTGATGGGGCAACCCGCTGCTTACGCAAGTGAGACTTGTGAAAGGCCTGTGTTCAAGAATTAAAAAAACACTGAATTAATTCCTCCTTGTGACTCCACTTATCTACAGCATTCAGTTCAATATGTCCCTAGATCAATATTACTGCATCCAGATTACAAAAAATTCAGTATTGATTCTTTCCGCAAGATGTCTTCTCACCATGATTATAGAATGCATTTAATGTGTATCAAAGAAAATACTGATTTATAATTTTCAATGATCAAGCTATAGCTCTCAAGTTTTCAAGCCAAACAGTCCTAAAACAAATTTGAGCATGTTGTTATTGTTCAAACTTGAGCGTAAACTACTCAGAATTCTAAGTTTGTTTGCAATCATAATAAAGATCTCACCTTTACAGCATAATACTTTCCATCTAGAGAGCTTTGATAAAGAACCTGTGACATTAAAGGGCATAAAACTAGAATATAAATACTGTTAACCAAGATTTGCGATACAACTGACTGACAATATAAGGAAAAAATTGCATTCAACTTACCACTTTTCCATAGCTACCAGAACCAATCTTATATTTATGAACATATTCATTAACCATCTTGCTCCCGTTTTCATCCTAAAGGAAACCAAAAGGCCAGTGTTACATAGGAGAAGACAATCTTAGCAACATAGAGTCCACAGAATAATAACACCAAAAAATTACATCACATACACATGGATAATGAAGTAAATCAGCACACAACCAGGTATGATGTAATGGAGCCACTAAAAATGATGGGAGATCTAACAGCACACTGTACATTCAAATACAGACACAAACACACACACACACATCCATCAACAGGTGAGCTCCATATTGGAAGGAATGAAGGATTTTCTGCTTTTGGAATTTGGATACTGAACCAGTGGAGCACAAAAAAAGTAGTTATTCACAGTTCAGATATTAACCTATATTCATCAAGAGACAACCTTGGGCAGGATAGCAAATTAAAGAAAGTTAGGTGCACTTTGAAAGAAATTAGGAAGATCATGACCCAAAACTGTAAACAGAAATCCACTTACCAAGAAAATAAACAAATTTAAAGTAAAGAAAATTTTGACTTATACAACTCCATGCAATTGTTTGACGAGATAGGTCATAACATAATCCATACCCTGACCATTTCAGTACAGAATGGATTATCACTTCCAAGCAATCAGCAAACATATAAGCAATGAAAGATGAAACTGGTTTTGACCCTGTTATTACCTCTGAGCGCACCAATCTGTGAGTTTCCTTAACAGGAAATTCTCTACAAATAAATCCATTTTCAGCTCTGCTTAGGAGAATATCCTCAGAACGCCTGACTGGGCTCCGATATTCGCCATCATCTCCATTACCAGTATCAATCACATCATCACCATTATATGAGCCAACATCATCGTCTTCCATATCTTCTTCCACATCTTCATCCAACAAGGGTTCCTGTGAAGGGTGGGTGCTCAATCCCAATCCCCTGTTGGGTCTCGGCCCATTTTTAGGCTTTCTTAAAAACGAGAATCCAAAACATCCACAGCAACCCATCTCCGTCACTCTAACAACAGGCTGTCTCTTTGTGAACATCAAAAAACAAATCTGACTAAACTATAAATCAAATCAACAAATGTGGGTTCAACACCTGAAAATTAGCAACACCTATATTAATTTCAGAAAATTGAGCAACACAAAAGAAATAAAAACTACTCGTACCATGCAATTCAACCAATACCATATTCATAATTGTGCAGGCATACACATATACATGGTATGATTAATTGAAAATGAAAGCTAGGCAATAACCTTATAAATAAAAAACTGTGATGTGGGGTTCAATCCCCAATCAACTCTACTGTTCAAGAGGATGCCATTCAGAAAAGTGAAAGAAGCAGTTAATCAGATTGATCCCATTACGATTGAGCGCAGACATCTTGATAGCTCCAGCTTATTAACAATAGAGCAATAAACCAGAGCAAGTGGCAATCTCCTCCTCCCCAGAGCCAACGCCCCCTGCCAAAAAAAAAAAATCACATTTGACCTAAAGCAACAAACCAATCAACATGGAAAAAAAAAACAAAAAGATAAAAAGACAAAAAACAAACGTATAATCAAACCAATTAATAAAAAAACTTCAATACGGCCAAATTGCATTTATAATTCTAATAATAAAGCTGCCATCAAAGAAAACTCATATGTGCCGACCAACCGGATTCTGGAAAGCGAAATAATACAAATAAATTAACGTTCGAGAGGGCTGCGTATTCTTATACATGTATGGGTGCAAGCAACCGCAAATAAGCAAGGCAGGAAGATTAAAAATCAGTAAAAACTCATAATTCTCGTACCGATTGTTAAAAGGTGGGGACAGCCATAGCCGAATTCAACAAAAAGGATCAAGAGCGCGTTTGGCGAATTCCGGAATTCCAAAACCCTAGATGCTAATCCACCACGAATAAGAAAAATCGGGAAATTCTTTTTTTTTTTCTTCTTCTTTTTTGACAAAAAAGCAAAAAAAATATTCAATTGAAAACAGGGGAAAAGGAAAATTGCGCGGAATTAAAACCCCGTGCTTTGGATGATTTGAATTTTGAAAGCACTTTCCGGCAGGCAAAGGTGTTGACGGAACGAGGGGAGAGAGATCTGCGGCGAATATATATGGGGAAAGGGGGGAATCGATGGAACCGCGAGTCCTTGTTGTCAATACGTTGAAAGTAAAGGGGTATATGGGGAATTTGGGACCGGAAATTTGTTTCGAATTTTTAGGGATTCTCAACCGAACATTTCATTGATTCCACCGAATAAACCCCCGAAAAAAAAAAAACTGATGAGTTGAATTTTTTTGACTTTTTAAAATATTTTTTTTATATTTTGTTTTCAAAAAAAAAATTATTTTTATTTTTGTATTACTCCGTATATATTTAACTTTTTAAATTTTATATTACATTCTTTATATAAGTTGAACCTCTAAAAATAATTAAACCATTGAGAAAAAATGGTTTATTTTTTTAAAATTCATATTACATTTTTTTTTTGTTTTTCTTCTCAAAAAAGATTCAAATAATTAAGGTATTGGCAAAATTTTTGTAAACACAAAATAACACCTTTTTTTTTTTAATGCTACCGACTCTATTACAACAAAGAGCCTACAACACCTCCATTGAGACTCAAACTCACAATTTCTTATATGAAAGTCTAACCCAGATGTTATCTATGCACAAGGTCCTTGGCTTTTAAATGCCAACCATTACATAGCTCAACCATGTTAAACAATAAAAATAAAAGTTTAAATGCCACGTAATCATTTTTTTCCCTAGGTACTTGACTTAAAAAAAAAAAAAAAAAAAAAAAAAAAAAAAACTAGGTACTTGACTCTATTACAATGTAGTAGAGCGCTCTGTTTGCCACGCCTAGTTGAAAAGATAAGTAGCTAATAAGCTAATTGATTGAAATTAAAGACATAAAAGGGATATTTTTATAAATTTATATATCGAGGGATCAGTTATGGTGCGCTCCCAGGTGAGAAGTTAGGTTAGATCTGAGTCGTTGATCAAATCTAGATCAACGGCTCAAGTCAATGAAAAATGTATTTAAAAAAAATGTGCATCTTCAAATGCATCCATCTTCTTCATGTTTACTCCAAAAGATAACAACCCCGCTATTTGTTATTATATTGATATTATATTTTTTTTCTTTTGAATTAGATCATTTTGAACTTGGGAACCAAAACTGAAAAAACACAACTGTGCTATTAAATGAAAAAGAAAACTGTAAAAATAACGCACCTTAAGAAGGAAAAAACAATGTACCTTAAGAAGGAAAACGAAGCACCTTAAGAAGGAAAACAATGCACCTTAATTAATAAGGAAAACCACACACCTAAAGCTTTAGACCGACGCACCTAAAGCTTTAGACCGACGCACCTAAAGCACACAAACCACGCACCTTAAGAAGGAAAACCATGCACCTAAAGCTGTAGACCGACGGACTTAAGTTTTCAACAACAAGCACACCTTAAGCACACAACACAAAAATTATGCACCTTAATAAGAAAAACCACACACCTTAAGAAGGAAAACAACGCACCTAAAGCTTTAGACCGACGCACTTATGTTTTTAACAACTGACGCACTTTAAGCACGCAACACAAAAATCATGCACCTTAAGCACAAAAACCAAGCACCTTAAGAAGGAAAATCACACCCTAAGAAGAAAATTCACACACCTTAAAATTGACCTAGATACAAAAAGACCAATTTGTCACGGCGTTTTTTAATCATTATTAATCCTGAACGTTGATTTAGGTAATATCAATGGCTCTCATCTCACCGTACGCTCTGCACATGGGCACACCATTTGCATTTGAACCTAATTCTATATTGTGGTATATATATATATATATATATATATATATATATATATATATATATATATATGATTAAATAATAATAATAATAATAATAATAATAATAATAATAAAAGAGCTTGATTACCTTGGATGATTACAATGGAAGGATGAACACGTACGATAAAGAACTGAGAGGAAAAAGTGTTTAGGAAAAATACACGTATGGCCCCTAGAACTGAGAGGAGAAGAGTGTTTAGTAAAAATTTAGATATTAGGTTTTGATTTAAGAAGGATAAATAGTGTCATTTTTGTAAATTAATAAGGATAAAAAGTCTATATGGCTCTGTTTGACAGAGCTTATTTAGGAGCTTATAGCTGATAAAAGCTTATAGGTAGCATTTCAAACTTAGCGTTTCAAAATAAGCTAGTAGCTTCCTAACTTTTTTTTTTTTCCTTTTTATCTTTATTATTTTAATGAAATAACATCATTTACCCTCCCAATTAAAAACCATTTACTTCTCCCAACTTTCACTACAAATCCTTTATTATTATTATTATTATTATTATTATTATTATTATTATTATTATTACATTTTTAAAGAGATGACAAATCCTTTATCATGTATTATTATTATTATTATTATTATTATTATTATTATTATTATTATTATTATTATTATTATTATTATTATTATTATTATTATTATTATTATTTTGTTAAGATTGATTATTTAATATATATGATGAATAGGATGAAGATGTTATGTGATGCTAGATCGTGATTATGTTAATAGCTTTATTTCAAAATGTTAAATTTTAATATGTAAACAAACTAATTTAAATTTTATGAAGATTTCATTTTTAGTCTTTTTATATTTATTAGCTTATCAAACAGTTAATTTTACCAAACATTTTCAAGCATAACAGCTCTTCATTTTCCAGTTCATAGTTTATAGCTTTTCAGCTTTCAACTAAGTTTGCCAAACATAGTCTATAACTTATTTTGAAACGCTACTTGGAGGAGCGTTTGAAAATAAGCTATTATTTTAAGCCCTTTTATGTTTTACCAAGCATATAAGTATAGCTTATTTATAACTTAAAATAAGTTATAAGCTCATAAATAAGTTGTACCAAACAGATTCTAGATGTGAACATTAAAATGTAAAATTATAAAGGAAAATTAGCATCATACGGTTGAAAATTTTAGTAAACATTTTCAATGCAAAAGAGATTATTAATTTTCTTCCCACTATCAATAATATTTATTATAAATAATTGCTAATTTTTTTGAATGTTACTGGCTCTATTACATTGTAGTATCTGTTCATATACTTTCTCAACCTACTAAAACACAAAGAACCAATAACACCTCCACTAAAGTTCAAACTCACAACCTTCCAAATGAAAGTCCAACCCGGGTACCATTACGCCTCCATTGCTAATTATTTTATCGTTTATAATAAAAGTTGACATTGGCGCAGCAACATTTGAAATGTTTATTTAATTTTCAATTAAGTTTGCCTATTAATATTAATTTTACTATATTATTTAACCCTTATATATGTGGGGGCCGGGGCCAGGGGTGCACACGTGACACGTGTGTGGGTACGTGCATAGTTTTATACATATTCTGTTGGATATGAAATTAAAAATGGTGAATAACACACCAACTTCAAGTAAACAATTAATTGAAGCACCAAAATATAAATATTGGTTTTGACTAAGAAAGTCGTGGGAATAAACTCAAACACCATTTCTTAATTATGTGGACAAAATTGCTATTTCCAAATAAAGATGTTATAGTGGGTTGAGACTCAGAAATCAATCCTAACTCGTATTATTATGGGTTTTATTTTTCTGAGTTGGCCTGTATTGACACTTTTATTTTTAAGTGTCAAGATTAGTGTAAATGGAAGGAAGCATTAAGTAACAACCAATAAAAACATGTTTAAGTGAGATCCTCGTAACAATTAAAGATAGTGAATTTATGAATTCGATTACAAAATTGGCACTACGATCTGTTTAGTCATTTGTATTATTTGGTAAATGACATTCTGACAAGATTTTAACGAATTTAACTGTTTCAGTTATATAGCCTGGTCAAAACGTTAATTATTGTCTAGTTAACAACTTATTCGAATGGCATTTTGGAGAAAAATAACTTTAGAAACGTTACAATATGTAATGTTCATATTCATCATTTTGTCAAAACAATATTTTGTTCCCAAAATGCCCTCAAATGCAGTATCTCTCCCAAAGGGGAGAGTTATCTAACTCCCAAATGTGGGTGAAGATAATGTTGTGCGGAATCTGCTCAGCTTCAAAAGTAAGCACGAGGCTCCCATTTTATAGGGGAGCATCGTCACGTTTCATTATTCCAAAAAGGCTGAACCTCAATCCTAAGGGTCCCCCACATCCCGACCCGACAGAGCATTTTGAGAGGATGCATCGTCACGTTTCATTTTCTTAGAATTGGGTGATGTGCGTGTTACTTCTTCTTTACTTTTTTTTTTTTTAATAATAATTATATTATATTAATAAATTTATAAATATTAACAATAAATATTATTTAAAATATAATTAGATAAATTATTATATAATTAACAGTTATTTTTATTTATTTGTTTAAATATCTACATTACTTAATGCATTTAATTTTTATGATTACTAACTAATAAATTATTTTTTATAAAACAAACATGTGTCTATTAACTACTAATCATAAATAGTTAATTTTACTAAACCTCTTTGTACAAACCGCTAATACAATATACTTGTCAAAATTGTTAATACAATCAACTAACTATTAACCATTAAATGCCAAACAAGGCTATTGTAGATTTATGAATAATCTATCATGGCCCGCATGGATAGCTCAACTGGTTATAGAGGTGAAATTTTGAAAGAATGATAGCTGAACACAGAGGCTAGACATTTGCTAACTGTGCATAAGGACGGTTTGGTTGATTAATTTTTAAAACATTACTATAATTTTGGAATACTCCATTAATTGAAAAGTTCATTCCCTTATTTTATAAGGGTTTCATTTCAAGTTCGTAGAACATTACTCAACAAACAACAATATTGATAATTATGAGGCAAACACGTGCACATGTTGGATAGCAACAAATTAAACTTTATGAAACCCACCCTCTATACTTTTGATATCCCCACCAAATGGCAAACAGTTGTATTAAAGTAGCATTGTCACGTTTTATGTAATCTTCTTGTTAATATTTCATCTTAATATAGGGGAAAATATAAGAAATAAATCAAACATAGAATCCTAGATATGGTGTGTTTGAAAACATGGAAAATAATTTTTAAAAATCATTTTTCAAATTTTCAGTTTTGACAATGAAGAAAAATGAGAGTCAATAGAAATTGATTTATGGTCAAAGGAAAAACAAAGCCAACTTTATGAAAAATAACTTCTTTTTTTTTTTTAAAGGGGAAGTCATTGTTCAAGATTCACATTTCCCCTCTTATGCTGCTTCTTCATCTTTCATAGCTTGTCTTATTCATCTTCTTGCTTCCAAAGAGAAACCGTAACTTCTTCACCTTCTTGCCCACGGTCAGAAATTAATTTTCGATGATCATTGCTTTGATTTTCGACTTTCAAAATCAGATCTCTGGTTTTCGAAGCCGGAAACCAGAGTCAGAGCTCTAATTTCAAGCAGGAAACCAGAAACTAGAGATTTGCATCATTTTTTCTCAATAAACAACACTCATTTTATAGCATGAATGACACTCAAATTTTTTATTTAATAAATAACACTTTTTTAAAAAAATATATAAATACACTCATGATTTATATTTTTTTACTCAATTTTAAAAAATGAACTAAACACACAAAAACTATTTGCACCACTATATTCAAAATCAAACCGAGCCGTTTGCACCATAGAATTTGAGAATTGTTTATCCTATCCCTACATAGACAGTTAATCTATAGTACATTAGTACCATACGGCACTTGGTTTACACAATTACACTTCCATATAAGAAACTACGGTGGGGATAAATTATTGTGTGGACCATAGTCCACGTAGCTGTGTGGACTATAAATGCAGTATACATTTTTAATATACTAAAAGTACATTAGTTGTGTAATGAATATACATTATTTAATAATATATAAAAAATTATGTACTTTCAAATAATGTACTTTTAGTATATTAAAAAGGAAAATACTTGGTGTACTCCATTTTATATTCCCAACTTGTACAGTTGTACTCCCTCTCACATGTTCTTGATGTAGACATTTTTGTGTGGACCCACATGATAAAATAATCAATCATTGTTTGCCAAAGGAGTATAAGTAAGAGAGTAGAATTTGAAAGTATACATAGTAAAAATTTATTAAAATGTACTTTTTATTTATAGTTCACACAAATGTGGGGACCATGGTCCACGAAATAATGATTGTCAATTGGGGGCAATTTATATCCTACACCACGGCGCGCGTTGCACTATGCGCCCAGATGCAAAACGACGTCGTTTTAATTTTTTATTTTTTTTTGAAATTTCCCGCCCCAGTGAATGGCAGTAGTTTTTCCTTTAAAAAAAAATTCGCTGTTCAAGAATGTACATAATGTTATACTAGAATACACATAATTGTATACATGAATGTACATAATTATATAACAAAATATACATACTTTTTTTAAAAGATAATACACATAATCTAACATATAATACATAATAAACATAAACTTTTAACATAATACACATCAACTCTTAACATAATACACACAAATTTTCTGATTCGAATGTACATAATTGTATAAAAAGAATGTACATAATTGTATAAAAAATGTACATAACTGTATGAACCAATACACATAACTGTATGAACAAATACACATAACTTTGTGAACAAATACACATAATTTCAGCAACTTCCTACCACACCTCCCAAAACGACTCCAAAACGACGTTGTTTTGGGAGGCGCGCGGCGCACAGTGCTATGTGCGCCGTGGTGTAGGGTATAACGATTGTCAATTGGGACCAACATACGAAATACTACCTAGTTCACACTGTGGATTGGGCCACACTGCGAAAGCCCTGTCTGGTGTTACACACAATTGCACCATCAAAACCATCATCCCAAAAGCCCACAATACCACAAACGGCAAATTATGCTGTGGAACTGTGTCCATCTTGCAAGGTGTATATGATTTTATTTAAAACTGTTCATAATTATGAATATATATAGTTTAAAAATTATGAACATATAGTTCTATAATTATGAATATAGAAACAATAATTGTGAATATGAAGTTCAAAAATTATGAATATATAGCTTTATAATTATGAACATATTGTTCTGTAATTGTGAATATAAAGTTCAATAATTATGAATATGGAGTTCAAAAATTATGAATATATAGCTTTATAATTATGAATATATAGTTTAGAAGTTATGAACATAGAACCGTGCCCACCTTGCATGGTGCACACGATTCCACAGCATAATTTGCCACCACAAACTTATGGGGAAAAAATATCTTTCTTGTGATTTAAGAGAATCTTGTAATCTAAATATACTCCTATAGCCCCATTTTATTTTATATTTCTGATTTGGTTAATGAAATTTGATTAAATTTATTTTCAATTTAATTTTTATAATATTCAATTTAGTATAAGGATATAAAATTTATATATTTAGAAATTAAACATTATTAAGTATTAAACATTTAAAAAAAACAAATTTAAAATCAATAAAAAAAAAACAAAGATTAAAGGGTTAATTTGATTAATAAATAAAAAATATGACAATTAAATTGAGACTAAAGAAGTACGTGGTACTAATTAGTAAAGTTTTTATGCGGTGCCTTAATCTAAGTAAAAAGCTATTTGTACTCTCATAAGTCATAAGCAAATTGTTTTTGACCACCCACTCTCAAAAGATACTTGTACTTTAAAAAGCAAAGTTTGATCCAGACGTTTTATAAAATATATATATATATAAACTCAAATACGGTCATGTCTTAACGTGCGATCGGTGCACCATACCTTCCTATACCTAATTGTGCGTTTTTGAACACTGTGTAGTGCGTTTATACATACCTAATGATACGTTTTGTGGTGATGTGTACCTAATGATGTGTTTTTTGGTGCATTGGTGCTTTTTGTTGTTGTGCATTTCCTAACACTATTGGTGCGTGTTCACATACCTAATGGTGCGGCCGTATTGACCGCACTGAAACTTGGAATTAAAACACAGGATACAATTATAGTTGTGTATGAAGATAAATTTGACAATTTCATAATAGGTTGGACACTTGGACCCCATATTGTTTGTTAAGGGAGGTGACTTTATTAGGGCATACCCAAGAGAAATTATGAGTAGGAGAGTTCAATCTATGAGGCATTATTAAGAGCAGCAGCATCTTTTATTTTGTGAAAGCTAACATTTTCCATGATGGTGTGCCCCATTAACAATGCTGATTAAGCACTCAACCACTAAATTACCCGACATGGACACGGGGAAAAGACAAGAGACCTAAAGCCTGTAAAACCGTGCATACAAGATTCTCCCACTAATCAAAGGATTAGCACTAATTAAACCCCCTCAAATTGCTGCAACCCTTTTTTTTTTTTTAAATAAAATAAAATAAAAGCTGCCCAGCAAAACACACCCCACCAACAAGATAGGCTCCTTTTTTTTTTTTTTTTTTTTTTTTTTTTTCAAAATGGGTAAGGGTGAGATGGAGAGAGACATGGTCAGAAGGCTAAGATTTGCCATATAAGGCATATGTGCTTTCTGGTATAGTTGTAATAGTGGGGATTGAAATATCAGTCATTCACATGCACTCACATTTCTGAAAATACCATTTCTCTTGGCATAGCCAAAAGCCTGTTCCTTACACGCAAACAGAAATGGGGAGAACACAAACACATTACAATTTTTGGAAATTACACTGTCCACCATTTTTGTTCATCCATGCCCCTGTATTTGTTCCACATTTAGATTGCACCCCTCATAAAAAGACCAACTTTTTGCTGCCCTCCTCAACACAATTTCTCAATTTAGGGATTCCCAACAGTGCCACAAACTCAGTAAAATTAGATACAGGGAAAAAAAATCAGGATTTTGGTACAATGGTGGTGGAACTCAATGTAAATGAGGAGCACATAGAAAGCATATGTCTACAAGGATGAGAATAACTAACAGGTTAGTGGAGAAACCATTGCAGGGATGCAGAAAGAGGATGGGGGGAAGAATATTATATGAAGTGCATTATTCAAGGAAGCACCTATAAAGTAAATTCAGATGATAACAATAGGCGTTAGTATTATTTGGGTGTTCTGTGGATGAGAGTGAATCAGGTAACACATAAACAGCTTGAAAACTTGAAAGCCAGTCAATTATCAGAGCATAACAAGGAATGGTGAACATATATTACGAAAGGAAAAAGAAGTAAAAAAAAAAAAAAAAAAAATGAAAAGAAAAACTCAACACTTGAAAGGGATAGAGGTTAACTCAGGTTACAACAAATATTGTAAATCAATGTGTGGAATAGTACCTAAAAGCAAGGTCAGATGCAGAGACCTCACCATTCTTTAACAACCCATAACGGCACAGTTGTAAACAAAGACCCCAGAGTGCTCCTTTACCCCAATGACCTGCCAGTCCAAGGTTCCATCCTTCATAGTTGATCCAGGAGACCAAGCACTCAAAACAATAGCTTCACCTTCTGGACCCCTTTGACCTCCCACAATGAGAAGTCTTTCTCCACATGATCTGAATGCAAGACCCCAACCATTTGAAGAATCAGCTCTCACAGGAAGTCTTCCCAACACGTCCCACGAGTTCTTTTCCATGTCATATTTCTTTACCATGTTGGTTAGATACTCAACTGCAAACAGTTGGTCCCTAACAACTGCTACAAGTGGAGGTGCCTGGGCAGCTCTATTAACATTTGGATACATGCCCTCTATTTTTCTCCACTTCCTTGTCTTTAGATCAAACTCCTCCCCACAAGTTAATGAGTCAGTGACACTGGTCATCCCACCAATCACATAGAATTTTCCATGCATGAAGAAACCAGAACACAACCGACGTGGGGAGTGCATGTTGGGTAATATCTCCCATCTACCAGTTGAAGAATCATAAAGCTCAGCAGACTTTAGTACATTCCCATTCTTGTCGCTTCCCCCAGCAACAATGGCAATCGATCCAAGACTACCAGATGCAAACAAACAACGAGGATGGTTCATAACATCACACTTGGCCCAATTATGCCCAACTAAACTGTACTTCCATATAGCAAAATCAAACAATTCGCGACCAAAAACAAGCAACTCACTTCCCACAGCTAACGACTCCTTATCAGCATAGTTAAAACAGTCATCACATGGTATTTTAGGCAATCGGAACCATTTATTTCTAAAGGGGTCAAAAGCTTCCCAACCCCGGGGGTCAGCTACCATATAAACCCAATGCTCAATAATTCCCAAATGTCTTCGCAACTCGTATAAATACCCACTTTTAACTAACAAGTTGAACCTTGAATTTAAGCACGACAGGGAAGCATAATCTGATCTACAAGTCCGAGCTAGACATGTCAACGCAACATCATTATGTAGACCGGTAAGGAGAGAATCATTTGATCCTAACTTATAGCAACCATCTTCCTCTCCACCAGACCTCATTTCCAAACCCTGTTCATTGTCCTCCAGATGAGCACAATCAGGTGAGGACTTATTAATCCTATTGGAACAAGAGATATTCAATTTCTTAGTTTCATGGGCTTCAAAACCCATGCTGTCAAACTTTCTCCGGCTAAGAGCCTAAGACAGCCAAAATGGCAGCCCTTTTAAGTTTAACTATTTCCAATCCAACAGCAAACCCCTACCCATTTTCTCAGAAAAAATTATTACGATTTGGTCGAGGGACAAAAACTCCTCTATTCCAACTCCAGCAAAATTAGCGAACCTCTGATCAATATAAAATCAAACTACATTCAACAGTTCCTAATAAGGCCTCAAACTGACAACAGATTTATCGAACCCTCACTCCCAAGCTGGATTTCTCTATCAACTAATCCAAATAGCCTCAAATGATCATTGGCTGAAATTAAATACGAAAATACATAAATTCTCTGCCGAACAAGAAAAGTGATATACGGATGAAATTTCTAGGTATTCAGGAAGAGAAATAGAGAAAGGTTGGGATCCAAACCGGAGTTGAAGGGGTATCCAGATCGCAGGTGGGAATCTGACACTGCTCTGCCCGGTCAGATGCGTGGGAGGCGAAGACGAAGCGGAGGATGCGTTTCCACCGGAGAAAGAATAGCGATTAGATCCAATTCACGAGGTACGTAACCGGAAAACATGCCGGAGACGATTCCCGGCGAGCATTTAACCGAATCAATATTATGAGAGAGAATTTTAGAGAGAGTGAGATTGCGGCCTTGGGGTTCGGTACTTTCCAACAGGAAACTGATAGGGAAAGAAAAAGAATGAAACGGCAAGTATTTAGCGCAACTGCGCTATGCTATTTTTATTCTTTTTTTTTTTTTTAATAATAATAATAATCAAAGCAGCGGCCAATTGGATCTGTTTTCCCTTTGGCTAAAATGTGCAAACATTAGAAAATTCATTTTGGCTGAATGCTTACTTTGGTCCTTGTACTTTATACAATTTTCCCTCTATCACCTAGACTGACCAGATTCCTTGTACGCATTAGTATTTAGTCATTTTTACTGAGCCATTGAATCACCGTAATTTACATCATCTCAAATACTCTGTCAAGTTGGGATGTGAGAGTCCGTTGAAAATTCAACCTTTTTGGGAGATGAAGAAAAAAAATACTAAAAATAACACTTTTGTTCTTGATATATAGGAAAATAAAAATTTTTCGTCAATTCTATATATTAATTGGTTATTTATCAAGTATTAATGTTACCGATTTGACTAAATCAAATATTCAAAGTTGGACAAATCTTCCCCAAAAAAGGACATATGTTTTTTACCAAATACCCCTATTATTTTAAGATGACCAGTAATATTGATACTTAAAACAAAAGTTGTCCAAATAATAATAGTTTAGTGGACAATCACATACGTTGATGGTTTGAATTTGGGCTCATTATACTTAGAAGTGTATAGTTTGACTTGATTTTTTTTATAGGTTTGAGAGCGAATTTATAAGATTTATGATATAGTTCGGTAAAAATAAAAACGTTGATTTTTTTTTTTTAAGTTAAAATTATCGTCACTTTTTTTTTTTTTAGAAGAGGTGTTAATTTCGAGATGAAAATGTTGTCCATTTGGAGCAAGAGTAATATCATTCATTCATTCGGATCAAGAGTAACATTTGCTATATATGGAAGGCAATTTGAATGCCTACATCTAACTCAGCACCACTTTTTTTTCCTGATTTTTTTGTTGTCAATTTCAAATTTTGAATTAAAACGAATAAGTAAAAAAAAATAAAAAATAAGAGACTAATTTCTTCTCTCAAATACTATCTAGGCTATGTTTGGCAAACCTAGTTGAAAGCTGAAAAGTTATAAGGTATGAGATAAAAACTGAAGAGCTGTTATGCTTTAAAATGTTTGATAAAATTAGCTTTTTGATAAGCTAATAAATGTAAAAAAACAAAAAAGAACATCTTCATAAAATTTAAATTAGTTTGTTTACATATTAAAATTTAATATCTTGTCTTTTAAAAAAAAAACTTTTTGAAATAAAATTATTAACATAATCATGATCTAGCATACCATAATGAAGTAGCAATATTGTTGCGAATCTACTTCATATCATAATAATAATAATAATAATAATAATAATAATAATAATAATAATAATAATAATAATAATAATTGCGGTGAAAGTTACGTATAAAGGAGAAGAGAAAATTATTTTAATTGGAAGGGTAAAGAATGTCATTTCTTAAAAATAATAAGGACAAAGATGCAAAAAAAGTTAGGAAGCTACTAACTTATTTTGGAGCGCTATCTAAGGAAGCGTTTCAAAATAAACTCTTATTTTAAGCTATGTTATGAGCTTATTTTGGAAACACTATCAAATAAAATTTATAGCTTATTAGTAGGTTAAAATAAATTATAAGCTCCTTAATAGACTCTGCCAAACAGAGTCATACTGAACCATTGATCTAAGCTCGGGTTACAAGATACCAATTTGAATTTTGAAGTGGGCAGACCAATTTGAAGACGGCGTTTGTAAACTTTGTCAATTAAGAGACCAATTTGGTATGACAGTAATTAATTATGGGCTGTTTAATTACTTCATCGATTCTTAAAATTTGTGGAAAACAACTTATTTATTTGGTTGATGGGAGCATTTATTCCTTCAAATTTGAATTCATCAAAATTTTACAAAATGAATTTCGTAGACCGTCTTTAGTATTTTCAATTTCACATCCAATGATAAGAAATATCTGAATATCCAACCTCGTGAGACCAAATTGTCCTTAGGTAGCATTGGTTCACAAAATGTACAATTACCTTAGGTAATAAGATTACTCGAAAAATATGCAAATAATTCAATGAAAAATTGGTTGTTAACCATTTTTTAACCAAAATATTTTGATTCAGTTAACAATTAATAAATTTTAACCAAACAAGTTAATATTATATTCACACACAAAAAAGAAAACATAAGGTAATCTTACGTTCCAATATTTCAATTACCTAAGGTAATCGATCTTAATTTATTGAGCCAAACACGCCCTTATAATTCATTAGTTTTGTTATATTATTTTTGCATATGAACATGCTAGTCTTTGTACTCTTATTTACTAAATACGGAGTACTTTTTTTTTTTGTGTGTGTTTCCGTCTCAAGAAAAAAAACCCTTTCTTTTATTTTGATACATTCTAAAAATATATTATCTAATATTTTGAATAAATATAATAAATAATTATATTTTTCTCTTATGAACACTTGAGCATGAATGAGCCGTCACCATTCACCAAGGAATTCTCAATTCTCACGCTATTGGAAATCCAAATTCAAGAATAGTGGAAGAAGTGATTCGATTGCATATTTGCATTCTTATATGCCTATAATAATCTAATAAAGAATATAAAATTTAATTTTTAAGATTATTTTTAATTCACTTTTATTCTATAAATTAGATTTATTTGTCATTTCACTTTAAGTTTTTTTTTTTTTTTTTTTTTTTTTTTTTCCATAGCATCCCCTATTGGTATAATATTATTGTTGTATGACCATTTTCTATTCTCCGTCATAAAATTTGTTTAGATGACGTTAAATATGAAGGTATTTCAATCTTTTGATACTAATAATAAAGAAATTTATTTAGCAATGAGTTAATCTCATTTTTGTCATAGATTTATAGATGTTATTCCATTTTTAGTTATTTTTTTTAGAATATCCACCCATTGGTCCTAGCATTATTGTGGCAGGGTCATTTTTAGTCTTCCGTAAAAATAATCTGTTTAAATGACGTTAATACATATATTATTTGTGTATATATACCAATACATGTTAGTAGTAGCTTAGTATTAATGTATTATAGATATTTTATTTATTTATGTATATATTGTAAAAACATAGTATAAAATGGCAAATTATGCTGTAGGTCGCGGTCCATAATGCATTGTGGTCCAGACATCAAATATGCATTGCGGATTCATTTTGATATAACTACAGTTTCGCTGGACAATATACACTCAAATATGTGAAATTGTTATCCAGTTTCATTTTGTATACATTGCAGTTTCATTTCAACACAACTACAGTTTCATTTCAATTCAATTACAGTATCATTTGATAATATAATAAAAATAATACGTGAGACAGTGTCAGTTTAGATACACTATAGTGTCTACTGTTGTGGACCATGGTCCACACTAAAATTGCTAGTATAAAATTTATCAAAATTATTTACATTATTATTAAACAAAACCTAAATTCTTATTTATTTATTTATTTCTCTATAATTTTTAAATACGATGATTAGAATTTACTACCTTTAGGAATTGTAAATTCTAATTTAAACTAAAATTTGTAATTATTTTTATTTATTAATATTTTAATATTGAGCATGAACTTTTGCGCATAGTGCGTACAAAAATGCTATTAACAAAATAAATATAAAAGCGTAGTGAAAAATATATAAGACTATAATTCTAAACGAACTTGTTAAACCGTGTACTGCAACTATATATTTCATCTTTTGTTATTTGAGAAATATGAAGCTTCTGTTGTTTCCAGGCATACATAAGAGTATAGTGTTTACTAATCTCATAAGGCTACAAAATTAAGTGGCAAACATTAAACATGTTAACCAATGTAATTTATAGGTTTGATTAATTGCTAAATTGAACCTTTAAAAATAGGGAAAAAATAGTGGTTTTGATTAAAAAAAATGTTTAACAAAATTGCACATTGTACTTTTGAGAGTAGAGCAATCAAACATAGGCCTAGTCCGCCTTGCACTATTGGAAGGTGGGGGGGGGGGGGGGGGGGGCGTTGATCCAAACTCCAAAGTGGTGAGCCTTACATGACGTTTGGTTGGGAGGAGGGAATTAGGGTAGAAAAGAATTGTAATTCGGTGAGAAACGAATAAAATGAAAATTTTAATTACATTGTTTGGTATGCATGAATATAATGATTGACAATTGAAAGGAAAGAATGAAATAAAGACTAAAATGCCCTTTATAATAATAATAATAATAAGAAAAGTAAAATAGACATTTATAATGTAATTACAATTCCATAAAGTGTGAAATTGCAATTCTTAGAGTAGACCTTATGAATTGCAATTCCCTTAAATCAAATCATGGAATTACAATTCCAGAGAGTTTAGTAGGAATGGAATTACAATTTCATCCTACCAAACACCCCTAATGATGAGTTTGCCAAATCATGGGCTTTGGCAAGCACCATTGCCTCATTTTGATAGTACTTACAAAAAGGGAGAGAGTATAACTTGCAAACTAATGACATTTTGGTAATGAGGTTACCTCATGATAGATCATTTGCGGAACAATATTAGGATTCTTCTCTAGTTAGATGCAGTAATTAAGCACTCAAATGTAGATAGTGAGGGCGTATGTGGTCTTCCTATCACGAGTTTCTTGAATGTTTCCAGAAACAAAAAGAGAGAATATTTATGTGCTCAAAAAATGAAACAATATTTATAATATTAACGATATCAATACATTTTGAGACGATGTACCAAAGATTGTTAGCTCTAATTTTCACAATATATGGTATAATAAAACATACTCATGTCATAAATCCTACAATTCAATAACTTTTTTTTTTAAATGGTAGTAATTGCGAGAAACTCATTTGATTAGAACAAATCAAGTAGCTAATTATTGGTTCCATGGCTAAACTACGGAGTAATGACGAAATGAGATTTTGGGGATGAAAAATTAAATTCAATACTACGTAATTATTAGTGACGAATAAAGAATAGTACAAATCATAACTTCTGCATACAGTGAATTGACAGCAATGAATCA